CGGCCGTTTGGTCTCCCCTGCCGAGGGCTTCCGTCTGGTTGGGTCCTATTTATATATGTATTGTATAAAATATTTATTTATATATATGTTTATTTTTATCCATAATATTTATTTTATATATGCAATATATATCTATATCTTTATTTTTATTTTTATTTATAAACCCAACCAGACGAGAAAACAAATGAATATCCCCCCATAATAATAATAATAAAATATCTTTATTCACATAGACGCTTACGCGTTCTTATGAAACGTCAAAATTTTACAAGAAATTAACACGTTCGTAAGTTACCACCGTCACAGTCGACTTGAGAACCTCCGCCGTTTTTTAAGTCGGTTCAAAACGGCAACCTTTCTGCGTGCACATAAATTCTAAATATGCCTCGGTGCATTCGTCTGTATAAAATATAGAACAAATTTAAAAACAAAAGGATACGTTCGAGATGTCGCTGCGTTCAGTGTGCCGATCGTTTAGAATTCGAAATCGACGTACGCCACATTCCAATTTTATTGTTTTAGTTTCGCTTTACGTAACGCGCATACAAAGCGGCTGACCGCTACTGCTGAACGAAATGTACCGAAATACATAGAAGAGGCAACAATTAATCAGCCTATAGTTGATTTAGAGTTTAAGCTGCTGTTTAATATAAAAAAAATATGTGTATTTTCAAAGAATAATAATTTCCTTAATAATATTTTACTAATATCCAACTGTGTGAAGCAATTTCTTGTAGGCTCCTAAAAAAATATGGCAATACTATAAATATGCAACCTGAACTCTGGTTTAATCTAAGACCTAAAGATTCTTAAATGCATTTATACAAAATTAGAATACAAAAACATACTAAATGTTAGTACATACGCGAAAAAGACGGATAGATATTCTAACTTGTCCATTTAACACACTATATTTGCACATACACTTTATGAGTGCAATGAATTAAAACTCCCGGGGACACTTTCACTGGAGAACCTGACGTGGAATTAAGATTATTATCTCCTTCGAGCCTCCAGACAGGCCTGCTCTCGAGTTATTAATACGGGACGGCTCATGTACTGGAGAGAAAATTAAAAAGATGGTTTATCGCGTCTAGTTGCTTTCTTTTTCTCATTAAAACATCACAGTCAAAACATAAATTAGTATTTCATTCGCAGAGTACACCATTAAGCAACATAAAATTTGATATTTTAACACAACCTTAATGTATATACACGTATAAGTTATTTATTAAAATAAGCGAAGGGCCTGACAAGTCGAAAAGGGGCTGGCTACAGCCACAGGCGAACACATCAATCTCCCGGCGAGGCGAAGGCTCACAACTAATAACATTTCAATGACACCGAGTCACAATATTGCTTGCAGGTGGTTCATAAACTAAAAGCAAGTTAAAACAACGATATTTACTTTAACGTAGGTGATTTAAGGTATTTTTTATGATAAACGTAAATAACAAACATTCATTGTTTGACTATAACCTGAGTAGAACCTGAGGTGCCGTCAGCTTGCACCAGAGTTTACCTCAGATTACCGTTAGGCTTAATATAAACTTACGGCAATTATAAAAGTTTTATATCATAAACCATTGGGCTATTTATTACCCTTATCGCTGAGGACACTGACTAGCAACATAGGGTCGTATCACAGTGACAACTACAATCAGTTTTCCAGTTCCAGTTTCCACAATACCAGGCCTCGCTAGATCGGTTGTCAAATCAAATCATTTATTCATCGAAATAAGAAAGACATATTTCATGGATACTCATTTTTTTTATGATATGATTATTTCTCATTCATATCTACCACCGTTTCGTAATGAGGTTCCTCAGCACAACCCGATTTGAACGCACGAGAGCTTTCATATCGGAAGAAAGTTTAAAATGTGTACATAAACCAAGTAACGACGTCGCAACAAAGACTGGGTCCTGGCACTATCAGCATTATCAAAGGCGTAAGACGAATTGCTGAGTGTGTGCTCAGAAGCACTCGTTTCCCACGCCCTCCGTTGATCGGATAATAAACGCCTCCGAGATAAGATAGGAGCCGTGATATTTCAGCGTCCGGTGCTCGCCTTTGCTCGCCTTTGCCATTAATTCAATATGCTGGAACAACCTGAGTTCTAATCCGGGTGAAATTGTTAATTAAAATTGCTGTTAGTTATCACGTGCTCAACGGCGAAGAAAAACTTAGTGAGGAAACGTGCATATTTTCGAAATAATAGCAAAAAAAAATATTTCATATATAATATCTATCAGGGTAATCTATAGACAATCTAATATTTAAATCCAAAAATATAAATAAAACATCCTAATCTCCATCTATCCGGTTGATTCGGTTATTTGAACAAGATAAAGTCACATCACGTAAACAGCCGAGGAAAACGGAGATCTGATTTCGCTTTTGCACAACTTTCGATACGTGAAAGAATTCCGCGAATATCACTTTTGATAAGGAGCCAGAACTTGGTGGAGCTAAAGGAAAGTATTCCAAAAGTCCACATTCTAATGAAACCCAACGATATTCGAGATAGCAAATGTTCCTTTTGAGTCTTATCACCGTATGACAGGAGCGAACGCAAAAGGGCGTGTTGATACTGGGCTAAATAAAATATTGGCAATTAAAGTTATTGATTTCTTGTTTTTACGCGAATAATATTCGTGATTAACGCCCGGTTTCCAAAACACTGATCATCGTAGAAATTAACTAATCAGCTGTCAAATAGCTTTCAAATGTTATTTGAATTGCCAAAAGGATGGATAGACTCTTCGAATTGATCAATCTGATCAATAAGAAGATCATGACATCAATAAGAAAATCATGTCATCACTCAAATGACATTTGACCGGCCATTTGACAGCTGATTAGTTAACTTCTACGATGATCAGTGTTTCAGAAACCGGGCATTCATGAAACTATTTTACGAATTTAATCGAGTTGATTTGTAAATTCGCGACGTCTCGAACACTTTCCAGGCATTCATGCTGGAAAAAAATAGTTTCTTTTTACCATATTAAAGTTATTATCGAAGAAAACACGAAGTTTTAAAATTGAGACTAAATGAATTACAAGTTATAGGTAACATTTATTCCAAAGTTTTGTGAACATTTTAACCAGGTTAAGAATTCAGACAAACAATCATAATAGTTTTAACCTCTTACTATAGCATTGTTTAATAAACACTTGAGAAACAAACGATATTATCAAAATCACAAAATTTAACGTTTATGAAACAACCATCGCATGAAAAGTACTCAAAATTTGGGGTCGATCATATTGCAAGCGATAGAAGTTATCTCGAAAGCGTCTTCTATGCAAATCGGCACCGATGAAACAACGGATTCCGTTGTATAGTTTAAATTAACCTTGACTTAAGCGGCTAGCGCGACCGACACGACGACTTTAACCAACTTTCGCCGAACGGCACCGTCGTGTTTGATGTTTTGACTAACTTCCTGAAACACTGATCATCGTAGAAATTAACTAATTAGCTGTCAAATGGCTATTTAAATGTCATTTTAAGTTGCCAAAAGGCTGGTTAAACTCTCTGAATTGATCAGAATGATCTTCTTAATGATCACAATAGTAGGGGGTCATTAAGTACCTACTTTATGGTTTTTATCGTATATTTATTTATAGCCCACAAAAGTGGGCTACTGCAAATAAGTTTTCTTGCGTCGATTAGCATTTATTACAATTGACCGGTGTTTGACTACTATCTCATCTAAGGACAAGCAGCGATTAAGTCTTAGGTGGCATTGGCGATAGCTCAATAAAAGCCTATTCACTCTTGCCTAATTCAAAGAACCTTACCAAAGAAGATACGCGGGGCGAATTCGAAAGCTGTACTAACATAACGATTTCATGAAGATTTTGATTTGATCCGGCAATCGCCGGTCTCTTCCGAATGACGTTTCCACGAAACCCTGTGAAAAGTTGTAGGTGTTCTTTTAGGATTTCGTACTCAAAGGGTAAAACGGAACCCAATTACTAAGACTCCGCTATCTGTTTGTCAGTCAGTCTGTCTGTCTGTCTGTATCTCATGAACCGTGATAGTTAGATAGTTGTATTTTGTATTTCTGTGTTTTTGTATTTCTGTTGTCGCTATTACAAGAAATACTAAAATATGGAATATTCATGTTGGGCTCCCATACAACAGACATGATTTTTTTTCCGTTGTTATACATAATGGAACCCTTCGTGCGCGTTTCATTTTATTATAAGCTCTTCAACTAATGATAAGTAATAACACCAAAGGAGATGTAGATGTAAGAGTCATCTACATACATCTTCTTTTACTTTACGCTATCTTATTTTTTTGTCTTGGTACTGTAACTTTGTCCACAGCAGTATTAGAATGAAGCGAGGTAACATTTTTATAACGACTTGAAAAAGCATAGGTACTAAAAAACTACTTAAAAAGCCATCGGATCAATATCATCTATTCAATCAAATTATATATAATTAAATCTATTTTAAATAAAACTTATTCCCAGAGACAATTTTTTCACAACTAAGGTTTAGCTTTTTTTTAAATATGTTTAATAGTAAACAAGCACCTCAGGCTTAATAACCAAAAAAATAAGGTCAAGTTTAAAAATGGATTGTATTTAAATTATCTGCAGTTAATTGTGTAACTCTATTATGGTCGTTGATACTTCCATTAGCTAGATTATTAACTAGGTTACTAGTAATTAATGAAGTCAATTATATTAATTTACTACACCGAATTTATCATAGGCCATGATGCAAAAGGTTAAGAAATACTATGATATTTAAAAATAATTATTGTTGCAACAAACACTAGCCTGAAACATCAAATGGGTAAAAAAATACTTGATAGCAACTTGAAACAATACATTTAAATGGTTAAAAAGTTATTATTACATATAATTAATTATGCGTAGAACTGACCTCATGGTATTGAGATAAATATTATCAAGTTTATTTTTTAATTTATTTTTTACGTGTAACAAGCCAGTGTAAAAAAAATATAGCTTACCACATTGATCTTGCCCAGGATATGAGTTATCTGGTCCTTGCTGCACATTTTGTTGGTTCGAATGTTCCTTTGTTCGGCGTATCACATTTTACAAAAAATTATCGGCACTCGATATCGAAAACATTACACACACACACACGCATCTAGAATGTTAGACGTCGTTATTTTTCCTTGAAGATACGTAAAATGATAGCGGAAGGAAGAAATCACGAATTTATTAAACTTCCATGTTCCTATCAAATGACTCATCAATTATGATGATCACAGATTATTCCGATTGACATTCAGCAGAGATTATAAATTACATTGTTGAGCTTTCTAAGGTACAAATATAACATAATTATGCATCTTCAACTATTATTACATAAGTTGAGGCTTAAACGTAGAATCGAATTTAATTATGTTGTTTTCTTTGCTTGTTTGCTCCCATCGCTTTCGAGTGAAAATAAATACGCGTCGTTTGATACTCGTTAAAATAACGATTATTTTATCTCCGGCAAATGAAACTTTCCACAAAAAAGATTTTGACCAATAACGTTGGTAACGTCATCCGTTAATAGTCCAATAACGATTTCCGAAACCTTTTCAGACCATTTCTTATTTATATTCACAGCTTAAAAAAATCATGAAGCTGTACAAATTTCTATTTCATTTGCAAAATAAAAAAGAGCTACAAATTATATCATATAAACTCGTCCCAATATCTTATCTTCCATCAGTTTTAAAGATACCCCATGATTTTTCCACAATAAACACACATAACTAAATCTTCTCTACCTACAAAGACCTCACTCATATTAATTACTAACGACTCGCCCCGGCTTCGCACGGATGTAATGTATTATACATATAAACCTTCCTCTTGAATCACTCTATCTAGTAAAAAAAACACATCAAGATCCGTTGCGTAGTTTTAAAGATCTAAGCATACATAGGGACAGACAGACAGTGGGACGACTTTGTTTTATACTATGTAGTGATAACAAAAGAGAAAAGAAAGACGGATGATGTGCACGCGATAGAAGGCATGCTTGGAAGTCACTCCATTTCAACGGTGGCTCTTAACTCTGATCTAACAGTCCAAAGTAATGACGTGAAGCGACCGGCACGGGCGAATTGGGCCGCAAAAGAAAGTCCGCGCCACCTATACGAGCAATGCATATAGATACGATCAAATAAGTGAACCGTTCGTAATTACGAACGCATAATGGGACTTACGAAATCGTTGTGCGGCATGCAAGTGTCATTGAGTCTATCGTTCGCTGCAATATGGCCACACACCGGGCTACATTCGAAACGACAATCAAATTTATTTAGGTAATTTTATGTTAATGCAGCTTTTGACAATGGTCTTCGTACAGTGATGGACTAATTGGCCTTGGACTAAAGGCGGACATAATCATCACCAGTATTCTTTCAACACCAAGATCGTCGCAAACTAAGAAAAATCTTCATAAATTAAACTTAATTCGTGATACAACTAAAATTTGCACTTTGGTTAGGCAAATACGATGAATATTAGAGGTGTCAACTACACATGACACTTCTATTATTCAGGCATACGAGATCTTAAAGCTGATCTTTAAATTTAGGTGTTACAAAATCGTGTACTGCACGGAAATCACTTTTAGTTTGACTGATGTTTTTTTCTCTCAGGCCATTGAATATTAAAGCTTCATAGAATGCAGAACTCGTGGGCTGGCGCGCTCCGCGTTGGTTAGGGCCGCGCATGTGCTCATGCGAGCGTCACCTATGGGGAGGAATATCGCCTACGAGTCATCGAGATTCGGTATGGCACATGACCCAATGGCCGTTGACTGTATTATTCAGTGGCTGAGGAACCAAACGCCAACCAAACTATCTCAACCAAACGTTCTCTTATTCCACCGAAATTGAGAACGCACGATAATCGAATTAATTCGGACGGAGAAAAGGGAAATCGTAAGCTATCAAAATTTGAATTTCCCTTTTGAAGTGACATATCGCATAAATGAGCGGCCTTTAGGGCGGGTGCAAGACTGGTATTATTACAATGCGATGAATATTGATGAAAGGTTACAACACTTGGCCGAGTGGAAAGCTCGCATTCCGTTTAGACATGAACACATTTAACACAAAAAACGGATATACCACTTTCACACTCAATAACAGGTAAAAGAACGCCCACATCTTAACAGCGGACAGGAGTAAAGATTTGAGCCTACATTGTTTAGAGATCACTAAATATACTTTGCTGGTATAATAACCACTCGTTACTGTTTTCCGTAATAACATACATATCTATAGAACACAATATAATTTAAGATTAAACATTTTGATCAATACATGAGATCAATAGCACAATAATATCAGACGCTATCACAATGACGTTAATCAAACTCCTAAAAACCGAAGTGGAACAAACGTGAATAGGATGAACGCCGACAATCGTTTGAAGAGGGAAGATTGACAAGTACAAACTGGACCGAAGCGAATTGAGAAAGGCCAAGGCTCCATATTGAGATATGTGGACAAGAACGCGACGTCCATGATCCGCCGCGAGCCGAGGATGGCATTTCAATTATAAATAAAGCGACATTAAGCCAATCACGAATCTATTCACGTTTGACGAGCTAATTGAAGACGTGTGCGTGAATTCCTCGCTTGCGTAAGCGTCGTTAGCTCGTTTGAAAGCTCTAATCAGTAGAGCTATTTGTTTTAACAGCAGAAGGCTGCAGACGAGGTAGTAGTTCCCTATGATGGGATGCATACTTTGCACATGCATTGCATACATACGGAGCTATTGCAAAGCGATCGGCCTGGGGTCATCTAGCTAAAGTGACGAAATACAATAGTATAAACACTAATGCTTATACGACGACTCATTAAAATTTAAGTCAACGCTTTTTTATACACGAACTATAAAAAAAAATCTCTGCACTTGGGATGAAACACTTCGACACAACAACAATTCGCTGCTGTGGGAATCGAACCCACCACAAATCCAGATTACCGCCCAAATTATTCAAATAAAGCATTTGTTATTATTCAATCATAAATTCGCAACTTTATTCAATTCTAGGCGTTAATCAAAAGTCGAGTTTAAATTAATAGGTGATATTAAAAAATATATGCCATCGCAATATGAGAGATAGCTCAGTGTCCGGGCGCTCGCCTTTAATTCAATATACTCGAGCAACCTGAGTTCGATCCCCGGTGCCGGCACCAAAAGAGTTTTTAACTTTAAGTGCAGATTTATCACGTGCTCCGCGGTGAATAAAATAAAAATGCGGCCCCACTGCGGATGCTTCACATTTCGAAAATATTGAAGTCGATCGCTATCGATACCCTCTGTATAGAGGAGGCCTTTGCAGCCATGTATAGGGTTACTTTGGTACAATCTTTTTTCGAATGGAAAACAAACTCTTGCATGAGCCAATCTCCGCAATTAACATTAATTAAGGTAAACAAAGGGAGTCACGAATGGCTTGCATTGCCGCCATTGTAAACGGAGTGATTGTTTGTAAGAAAAGAGAAATTAAAATTTACCAATCAGCAAAACTTTTCATGAACATAATAACATTTAACTTGCACGTCTTTTATTAATTATTCCATAGCATTTTTATTTAAAATAACAAAATATTGGTAACAGTTCAAACCTTGAGCGCTTTTTGAACCCGTTCGATGCAACCAACGAAACGATTGCAAATACAATGAAAAATATTATTGTTATATTGCTAAAAGACATTTCGAAAGCCTGACAAACGTTAGGTTTAGTCGAAACCGAAATCTATTTATTAGGAATTTTATTAAATATAGTTATTAGTGATTAACAGGAGTTCCCTTAGTATATTCGGAGCCCAAGATCCAATACGAATGGAAAAATTACGGGACCTCATGGGAAGCAACTGGTATTGGTTCACTCCGTCGAAAGTTACGAGGTAACATAAAAAAATACAGTCGAATTGAGAACGTCCTCCGTTTTTGAAGTCGATTGAAAAAAAAAAAGAAAAACAGTAAAGCCGTGTGCACACAAAACAACTTGCGCTCACATCCTGTTACCGCAATCATGTCGCATAACAACTCTATTATGCATTCTTGCCTAGACGACCCGTCGCGTGTACACACGGTCTTGATTGATCTTATAGCATGCATTACGTAAAACACCTAATGAATTACACAGCAACCGCGAGCATAGAGGGTGCTCCAAAATCCAATTGGTCCATACACTCGGCTGCCGCCTGTGTTTAGTTAGTCAGTAAAGTAGAAATATTCGCGTATTCGAGAACCATCCATGTCAAATATTATAACGCGTTTCAAATAACGCCAATGACCCCGAATGACCGCGATCTTTCAACTGTCATTTGAAAAGTATGGCTGGCAAAGAAAAATTAACCGTCCACTTTTAAGATTTAAAACTTTTTATAAAAAGTTATAAAATCTATTGAAGTCAAAATTACTTTTAAATATATATTCAATGCGACGATAATTAGTTCTATAAGAAACACAGGTAATAAAACGGCTATTTTTCTTTTTGATAACAGTCTATCATCATTTCAGCCTGTATGAGTCCACTGCTGAACATAGGCCTCCCCCATAGACTGCCACAAAGTACGATCCTGAGCCACCTGCATCCATCGACTTCCCGCACATTTGCACAGGTCGTCACTCCATCTAGTGGGGGGTCGTCCCACACTGCGATGGCCAGTACGAGGCTGCCACTCGAGAACCTTTCTTCCCCAACGGTTATCGGTTCTACGAGCTATATGGCCGGCCTATCGCCACTTCAGCTTGCTAATCCTCTGAGCTATGTCGGTTACCTTGGTTCTTCTGCGGATGTCTTCGTTACGAACTCTATCACGCAGAGAAATACCGAGCATAGCCCGCTCCATAGCCCGCTGAGCGACTTTGAGCTTCCTCATACGGCCAGCAGTGAAGGACAGTCAACAGTGTATGGCATATTTTAAATACCTACATAAATTCACGTTCCATTTGTATGGGAAAAGGCAGCAGTGATAAAGATGACTACGCAGATAGTGATGCAGAAAAAAGCAGAGTTGGCGTGTTAG